CACCGGGCCCCCAGGGCAGGAGGCAGGAGTGGGCTGTTGGGCCAGCCCCTGGTGGGGAGGGTGGGCAGCTTCAGGAAGTCAGGCTCCGGGGGCCCGCCCAATCCTGGGACATCTTCTCGGTGCCCAGGCCCCAGGGTTCTCGAGGAAGCTGCCTGGAGGTGGCCAGTGCCCTGGCTGGGAGGCGTGGCTGGGCTGGGGGACGGGCCCGGGCGTCCTCTGTTTCTCTGCTTCTCTGTGGCTCTGTGCCCACTCTGCCCGGCGGCAATCCAGCCCACAGCTGCTGCGCGGCCTCCCCACGGGGCCTGGGTGGGTATGGGGTGGGGGCAGGACAGGCTCATCAGTACACAAGGACCCCTCCCTTGGAGCTGCCCCCCCCAGCACGGCAGGAGTTTCCTCTTCTCCCCCCAGGTAGGCCAGGTTCCATCTGGTGACTTTTCAGGAAAGTGCCCCCCCCCCCCCCGGGGCTGCTGTGAGCTGCTCCCTTCCCCTCCAGCCGCTCCGGGTGGCTCCCCGGGACCCATCCTGATGTGTGCTGGCCCACATGGCCTCACAGCCTTGCCCAGTGATGCCACGAGGGGACTTGGGAGCCCTCAGAACATGGCACCGGGGTGCCTTTGGGGGCTGGAAGTCATGAACACTGCTAGTGGAGTCCTCTCCCGAAATCTGTGGAATGGGATGAGTGCCACTATAGCTGGGCAGGGGACCCGGGGCTGGCATTGTCCTTGGTTGGTGCGAGGCGACCCTGGTTCTGCTGTGTGGGCAGAGGAAGGTTGAATGTTGGAAATGGTGGTGCTCAGATGGCTCCAGGAGAGTGTGGGGGCACACTGTGTGGGAAGGGGCTTCTCCAGGGTGCAGGTGCAGGGCACCGGACGCCCCCTGCCCGAGAGTGTCCTGTCCACCATGCCCACTGCCACAGGAGGCTGTGGGACAGCTGTGGACAGCTTTGACCCCCACGTGTGCTTCGGCTCCGGTTTCTGTTGGTCGGTGGACAGAAAGTTTCCGCAGGCCCTCCTGGGATTGATCCTGGCGGGAACTTGGGCCACCGGCTGCAGAGGGAGCAGGGTGGCGGGGAGGCTGCTGCTGTCCCCGGCCAGAGCAGGAGCACCAAGGGCCTCTGGGCAGGTGGAAGGGACAAGCTCAGCCCGACTGGCCTGCTGGATGGGGCAAGGCTGGCCGTCAGTCTGTCCCCATCCTCTAGGACACTCTTGATCCCTAGCTTCCTGAGATCCAGTGCACAGGCTAGCAGAAGGCTGGTAGTCAGAAGCAGCCCGAGATGGCAGAGCAGAGCCTGGCCGCTCACCCCTGCCCCCATTGACCCTCCTCACTGCCCAGCTGGGTGAGACACCAGGGCCAGGCCCCTGCCCACCAAAGTCTCCTCTTTCTGCTGGAGGACGGAGCTGCCTGCCTGTGGGAGGGGCCCAGCAGGAGGAAGAGGGCACAGCCTGGTGACAGTGTCTCCCTCCCCGGCAGCTGCCCCCGCCACCAGCCCTCAGCCCTACCCCAGGACTGTCGGGGGCCAGGCCCAGGCCTTGCTGACTTGGCGCAGTGACCCTTCAACTCCATTGCCTGGTGTGGACCCCTCGGGCCAGCCTGGGCTCTGTGCCCCCAGGCCTTGGGCACAGCTTTCCCGAGGTCTCGCCTGGGAGGGTGGACTTGAAGGCGCCAGCTCACACTGCCTGATAAAATAAAAATAGTTGGGGAGGAGGCTCCCAGACGTGCGGGGGGACGTGCTGCTTCTAGACGTTTAAATAATCTCCGCCATATGTGAGTGGGCCCGTCCCTCCCTCCTGGAGGCGCCGGCCAGGGGCTGAGGCCCCGTGGGCGCTGGAGCCTGGCACACTGGCCCTGTCCTCCTTCCCCTTCTCCAGCCGAGCACTGTCTGAGCGCCCACTGCATGCTGAGCTGGGCCCTCCAGGCAGTGTGGGGAGAGGGCGGAGGGCTGAGGACCCAGTGGGGGCCTGCAGTGGGGGCAGGGCCAGAGCAGCCTTGGGCCCATGTGTCCCACTGTCGCTGACCACTCTGAGCAGAGTGGATGCAGGAATGGCCTGTTCAAAGGTTCTTCAGGAAAGCGCAAAAGCCTCAGAGGAGGGAGGGGCTGGAGGCAGGCGAGCAAGAGAGGAGATGCAGGTTTGCTCCTGAAAGGCGAGTGGACAAGGCAGGTGCCCTGCGTGGAGAGCCCGGGCGCCGCAAGAGTCTGTGTACCGCAAGAGTCCGTGTGCATGCATGCGTGTGTGTGTGTGCGTGTGTGTGTGTGCTCGCGCCAGGAAGACTGTGGGTGTAATTTGTGGGTTTTGTTGGAAGATTAAATTGATTTTCCAGTCTTCCCAAAGGGGAGGTGGAGGTGCTGGCTGCCGTGTTAGGACAAGATCGATCTTGGCCATAAAAACAAAATTAAGCCAGAGCCACCCAGCTTCTGACCGGACCATGAGGGCACTCCCTCCTCGAAGCAGTGGCCGCTCGTGTCCCGTGGCTGCCGTCCTCCTCAGGGCTTGGGGAAGGAAGGAGGGGAGGGCTGGGGGCCGCCTTCTGACAGTCGGCAGAACAGAGGCGGGGGGCAAGGTGAGGCGCCTGAGGCCTCCACTTCCTGGCAGGTGCCGCGGCCAGGCGTCCTGGCCAGCAGTCGTGCCGTGGGGCATCAGCTGAGGTGGGGTGGGCCCCTGGGGCCTCTCTTCTGGGGGTTGCTGTGGGATCGAGGGCACTGTGCTCTCTCCCTGCCTCAGGAGGTGCCTGCCCCCCTGTCTGCTGTGTCCGCTGACCAGGGTCCCCCAGGGCTGCAGCTGGGGGAGTTGGCGCTGCCTCAGGAGGCTGAGCCTTAGAAGGTTGGACGGCTGGGCCAGACGCTGGCTCTGTGTCACCTCCTGGAGCTGGCTTGGTGGCCTGGGCCCTGTGCCCACCCACACTCGGGTGCCAAGTCCCAGCCAGTTGCAGGGGCAGAGCAGGACAGGCCCGGGCTTCCTTGCCCAGGAGGTGGGGATTGCAGAGGCGAATACACGGTCCCATCAGTAGCTGCAAGGTGGATGAGGAGCCTTGAAAGAGTCCCCAGGGTCACAGGACAGAGGACTCCAAATCCTGGAGAGGGTTTCTCAGGTCCTGGGCCCCAAGTGTGACTCTGAAGGAGTGAAGGGTGGGATTGGCTCAGGTGACTGTGTGGATGTGGGTTCCCAGATGGTGTTGCCAGCCTGGTGCCCTTGGTGGCGGGGGGGTGGGGGTGGTGAGAAGCAGGGGACCCAGGCCTCCTTGTTTGGGGGACTGAGCCACTTGGGCTTGGGGCCTGTCGTGGGTTCAAGCCCAGCTTGGCAATTACCTGGGGCGTAGCTTTTGCTCCTAGTGTCCTCAGGCGCACCATGGGGGTGATGCGGCGCTCCTGGGTGGAGGCTCCCCTCAGTGTCCTGCAGCCTTGCACAGTGGCTGCAGTCCTGTGCCCACCTGTCTCATGGAGCATCAGGGGTGGTGTGGGTCCCCTAGGCGGTAGAGGAGCCCCGGCTGCAGAGCCCAAAGTGAAGCTGGATTAGCCCGACCTCGTCTGCCTTGTCAGTGCAGGATTACGGCCCGGGGCAGCCATGATGACGCAGGGAGTCTGGGATTCAGGAGTTGTGCCCTCTCCCAGAGGCCCTGCCCAAGAAGATGGGGACCCAAGGCCCCTGGGTGGTAGTAGGAGACCCTTGATCAGCTGAGAGCTCAAGGGCGTGACCTGAACGGGAAGCCTTGGATGGGGTGGAAGGGGAGGACACTCCCAGACTGGAGCCAGTGAGGTTCCCCATTGAGCCAATGAGGACCCCAGCGGGTGTTCCCGGCTGCCTGGTTTCCGGTGCCCTCTGTCCTGGTCTCTGTGGCCCAGGTCTGGCCCTGACCGTCTGTGCTGGGGAGGGAAGGCTGACGCACCGCCCAGGAGCCGTGGGGTTTATGGCAATGAGGACTCAGGGGTGCCGGCCCAGTGCTGTCACTGTCCCTGCGGGCCTGGGTGGGGGGACAGGGTGGCTGGGGCTCATAGGCCAGGGGCAAGAGGAATGTGAGGTCCTCCCTGAGGTCAGCTGCCGTGACTCAGTGGGGTTCTGCCCTCCGGCCTGTGCCCCATTGTTTACCAGGCTGGTCTGCCCCGGAAGCCCCAGACACCCGGCGGTCCCTGGCCCACGAGAGGAGGGTGTGCTCTCTGCTTCACCTCTCCTGCTGCCCCAGAGCTGCCCACAGAGCAGTTGGCTCCTTCTGGGCTTGGCTGCCCCCAGCCTCCCTTGTCTGGGCCTTAGCTGGGTGGCCTTGACTGGGCCTTGTGTCCGGTCAGTGGGCAGAGGCTGGTCCTTCCTGGGCCCAGCCCTCCTCCTTCAGGACTGATCAGTCGTGAGCCAGGCAGCCATCCCTGGTCTCTGGGGCAGGGCCTCCTACATGGGAAGGGTGGGGGACACCGCCTCTGAGGGCCTGAGTGTGCTTCAGTGATTGTCCTGTGAGGATCATCACCCCAGGCCTCACAGCTGTGTTCTCTGGGTCCCCAGGGAGACCACCCATCCGGCCTGCCTGTCCTTACTCAGCCGGTTGTAGGGGCTGGTGACTTGGGGCCTTGGATGACACTGCCAGTCCCTGCCGGTCCCCAGCTGGGAGTTCCCTTGGCCTAAATCCTCTGGCCAGCTGGGCCGGATCCAGGCTTGGATTAGCGCAGGGGATTGGACAGAGGGTAGGCGGGGCGGGCAGTGGTGCTGTGGCTCTTCCACCTCCAGACCCTGCGTTGCAGCTTCTCCCAGGACCCCTCTGTGGCCCTGGAAGGGGGGTGGACTGGCACAGGGGCCATCAGAGACAGCGGGTGACAGTCAGGCCAATGCCAGAGGCGCCTGGGAGCAGCCCTGCAGGGGAGCTAGAAGCCAGCGAAGAGGGAAAGAGGAAGCCGTGGAGAGAAGGGGGCCCTGTGGAGCCCCGGGGCTGCCCGCCACTACCTGACCCACTGCCTAGGTAGGGTGGGGGGCACTGGTCCTCCCTGGCCTCTGTGAGCCCACCCTGGCCATCATCGGGGCATGTCCATCCCCTGGCCACTTACCCCCAGCCGGACCAAGGGAACCGTGGCCTGCCTGGCGGAGGCCCTCCTCTGGGTCGGCGGGAGCGTGGCTGTGTCCCCGCAGTGGCAACTTGGTCCACTAGGTAAGGGGGCTGGCCTGCCCGCTTGGTCGTCTGGGGTGGGGACTGGTTTGCTCCTCCCTGCCAGAGCCCCGCCCAGCCCTAGGGTCACTGGAATCAGGAGGGTGGGGCTGCTCCTCGGGGTGTGAAAAACCTGGGAGCTCCCACCACCGCCCATGGAAACCTATAACCTCCCAATCCCTCGGTATCCCCCTGAGGGTCTTGGGGCTCTGAGAGCATCCCCTGGTCTGCCTCTCTGATCCCCCCACCTCAGGGTCTGGAGGCTGAACCCCAGGCGGGCAGTAGGGAGGCAAGGGGTGGGGGAGTTAGGGGCAAGGAGGGGCCAGGGGCATGGTGCTGGTGGATGTGCTGGCCGGACACTCTCTGAGGGGGTCCCTGGTACTTTGGGGTCAGTGGCACCTTCAGCCCCAGTGGGGCAAGGCCAGCATGTTGGGGTCAGACGTGTCGGCCTGGGAGGCTGGCAGAGTGGGTGCTCCTGACTGTGGTGAGACTCCGGGGAGGATGGGATGGTAGTGTCTGTCCCAGAGGGGCTGGCCTGGCCCAGTTGTTCTAGGCCCCTGGACTGTCCCTGTCCTCACCCCCAGCCTCCTCCCTCCACCTGCTACTATGTCCCCATGGCCATGCCATCCCCTCACCTCCTGGTGTCTCAGCGGAGCCCACTGCCCTGTGCTCCCCTCCCTGCTGTGTGCCCCCGCCCACCCCCTGCAGCCCACCATGCCTGCAGCTCAAGAACAGAGGTTGGCTTCCTCTGAGAAGCTCCCACTGCTTTGCCCCTTGGGGCTGGCACTGCTACAGGCCTCCACACCACCTAAGGGCCCCTCATCAGGGGATCCCGTGGGTTAATGACTTGGTGCTTCCCCAGAGGGCACCTCCTGGTCCTGGGCCTTCCGTAAGCAGCTGTGAAGGGCCCAAGGGGGGCCTGGGACTGTCCTGTCCCTGGGACTTCAGGAGCCTGCTACCTCTCCAGCCCTGGGGGCCACTGTCCTGGCCAGTATCCCCTCCCCTGGGACATGGGAGATGTGCAGGCTGCAGACAGGAGGCTGAATGGATGGAGGAGGGAGGGGTGAGGGGGGGGAGCAGTTAGGCCCTGTGAGGAAGGTGAGGGCTCAGAACCTTCCAGGACTTGTGCCCTTGGGTGCACCCTTGGCCTCATGGAGCCTGTCTGGGCAGAGCTGGTCCAAACTCTGTGTGGACTCTGGCCACTGAGCAGGGTCCCAGATTGGATCTGTGGCCTGGGCCAGCACCTGGGGTCACAGGCAGCCCTGGAGGGGTCTGAGTTTGGTGCCCTGATGGGTGGGGGGTAGTCTCTGCACCCCGTGAGCACTTGGGGATACACCTGAGGCTGCGGTGACCAGGAGGCTGCTGCAGCACTCACCGGTGCTCCGTCTGTCTGTCTGTGTCGGTCTGTCTGTGTGGCGGCTTGGCGGGCCTCCAGTGGAGCGATGTATGAGCGCCATGCAGGCGGGGACGCAGATGGTGAAGCTCCGGGGCAGCTCCAAGGGCCTGGTCCGCTTCTACTTCCTGGACGAGCATCGCTCCTGCATCCGCTGGCGGCCCTCACGCAAGAATGAGAAGGCCAAGAGTGAGTAGGGTGGTCCGGAGCGGGAGGGAGAGGGGACCCTCCTCATGCAAGAATGAGAAGGCCAAGAGTGAGTGGGGCAGTCCTGGGGCAGGGGTGGGGGCAGGAGACCCTCCCAGAGCAGCCAACGGGCAGTGGGAGGGGCAGCAAGACCCTGAGCCCTGAAAGTCCCCAGGCCTGGAACACAGGCTCAGCTGGCCTTGGAGAGCTGCGGTGGCCTCTGGATGCAGTTGGGGAGGGAGGGCCCCGGCCTTGCTGTTCACCTAGCGGATCCTCTGGGACTCCGTGGAGACTGGGTGGCACCCATGCCCAGCCCTGCGCCGGATGCTGGGAGGGGCTAAGAGGCAAAAGGACCTTTAGTCTGGCCCCCTGGGCACCCTGAGGACAGGACCCGGTGCCTAGTGCTGGCCCAGGCAGCCTGGGGTGTGAGCAGCCGGCAGGGGCATGGAGGCTGCAGGGCTGTCTGGATGGGTCAGGGGGGTAATGAGCTGTGAGGATTTGTGCAGGGACCATGCTGGGGGTCCTGGGAGTCAGGGAGGGACACATGAACCCTTTCAGGTGACAGAGGGGACTTTGCTGCTCCTCCTCTGGCTCTGGCAGCTGGAGAGACGCAGATGTGCCAGGGCAGGGCCTGAGCCCAGTGGTTGCTACGTGAGCTGCTGCCACCACGGGGCCCAGGAGAGACACACCGTGGAGCCCCCTGGGAGGGCATCTTGGAGGAAGGGGCTGGGACTGCTCTGTGGGCCCCGGGGAGGTAGAGTTGCTGTGAGCCGTGCAGGCAGGAGCCCCTACGCTCCATTCGGAGGTGCTGTTCCTGCTCTGGGCTTGCTGTGGGGACTTAGCCCAAGTGACTCTGGTCTTTGCGTGTGAGGTGGTGACACCACCTAACGGTGGGATAACTTCACATCATGCTGAGTGATGAGGACACCGGATGGCAAATAGAGGGGAGAGGTGGACGGGGTCATGCTGGCCCCTCTGGGGAGGGAGTGGTAGGTCGAGGCCAGCAGGCTTAGGATGGGGGACACCAGCTGGCTGGCCTTGGAGAGATCCCTGGGAGAGAGGAATGGGGTGAGAGGCAGCTGTTTCCTGACTGTCAGCATCCCCTAATCTGGAGGCCCCAAACCCCTGTCTCCTCGCCAAGGACATGTGAGCCACAGGGAGCTGGATGGAGAAGCAGGCAGGACAGGCCCCCTTCAGGCAGGGGGTGCAGGGAAAGCGGGAGCCCCTGAGGAGGGGGCAGTAGGGGCAGCAGACAGAGGAGTGAGGCCACCCTTCACAGTGTGAGTGGGGGAGGCCCACCATTACTGCACCAGACACGGTAATGCCCACAGTGGTGCCAAGCCCGCTTCCGGGAGCAGGCACCGGGCGCTGGGGGTAGAGGCAGCAGGGGCCAGGCGGAGGGTGCAATGCTAGGGGTCCCTGGCTGTGCCGACTTCAGGGCACCTGTTCCCAGAGGGGCTGCTGGCTACCTGTGCCCTGGTATCTGTGAAAGGACCCTGCCAAATGCACAGGAACAGACCCTAAGGATGACCTCTGAGCTCATCTCTTCCTGAGGATTCAGTCTCTGAACACAGGCTCCACGGAGCTGCAGGCTCTGTGGCCAGTAATGAAATTCTTCCTGCAGCCTGATCTGGCGCATGCAAAGCAAGATCCCACCACCCCCGGCCCCCACCTGCTGGCGCCAGAGTTTATCACAGAGGTCGCCGCAGGCTCTCGGCCGTGCTGGCCAGCAATTGCCTTCCCAGGATGAGAGGCAACTGGCCGGAGCTTGACAGATGGAATTGGCTTGTCTGGTTCTCCTCACTCTGGACACAGAGGACAGACCCAGGGTGGCTGACCGGGGGAAGGCAGCCCTTCTCTTGGGGAGAATGGACCTCTTTCATGGCCAGAGGGAAGGCAGGCAAGGCAGACCCCAGAGTCAGAGAGGAGGGGGAAGAGGTGAGCTCACCAGCCCCAGCATATCTGTGGTTTTTCCTTCTCTCCAAGGGTGGGAAAGATTTCCCTGATGCTGGGAAAGATTGAGGGCAGGAGGAGAAGGGGGGAGCAGAGGATGAGACGGTTGGATGATATCACTGACTCAATGGACATGAGTTTGAGCAAATTCCAGGAGATAGTGAAGGACAAGGAAGCCTGCGGTGCTGCAGTCCATGGGGTTGCAAAGAGTCAGATACAACCGAGCAACAGAACAGCAACACCCCAAGGGCCCCTTGAAATGTCCCCTCCCCTAGCCTCAGACAAGAGGGAAACCCTGGGGAAGGCCATGACCATGCTGCATCCCCCCACCTCTGCAGTCTCCATCGACTCCATCCAGGAGGTAAGCGAGGGGCGGCAGTCGGAAATCTTCCAGCGCTACCCTGACGGCAGCTTCGACCCTAACTGCTGCTTCAGCATCTACCATGGCAGCCACCGGGAGTCGCTGGACCTGGTCTCACCCAGCGGCGATGAGGCACGCACCTGGGTCACGGGCCTGCGCTACCTCATGGCCGGCATCAGTGATGAGGACAGCCTGGCCCGCCGCCAGCGCACCCGGGACCAATATCCTCACGTGCGGCGGGCGGGGGGGCCCCAGGACGCACCCTCACTGTCCACCTTGGTGGGCTCCCCACCTCAGCTGGCTCATGTGTTTGGGGGAAGGGGCACTGGGGTGGGGTCCTTCATGCCTTCCTGCTCGGGAATGGGAGCAGAGGGGAGGTATGGTTGGCCCTGCTGGACCCACGTTGGTCCCTAACTTGGCCCCAAAGTGGCTGAAGCAGACATTTGATGAAGCCGACAAGAATGGGGATGGCAGCCTGAGCATCGGCGAGGTTCTGCAGCTGCTGCACAAGCTGAACGTGAACCTGCCCCGGCAGCGGGTGAAACAGATGTTCAAGGTAAGCCCAGACCCAGGTGTGTGTTGGGAGCAGCCCCACCCTGTCTGAGCTGCAGAGGGACCTGGACGGTGCCGTCTGAGCTGAAGCAAATAGCGAGGTAGCAGCTGGTCTGGACCTTTGCAGGGCAGTCAGTCAGATACCCCAAGTTGCTGCCTCTGGCTGTGCTGGTTCCCTGAAGCAGCTCCCGGGGCCTCCCCTGGCCGATGGACTGGGCACGTGGCGGGTGCCTGGCTGGCAAAGGAAACCACTCACAGGGCCTGTACCCTCATCCTACCCTGCCCCACGACTCCCCAGCCGCGATGGGGGGTAGAAGCCCTGCCTTGCGGCAGCAGCACTGATCACCCACCGCCTCCCCTGTGGTCTGTTGCCACTGCTGTTAGCAGTTTTGAAAATGCATCTTCAGCTGAGCGGCTGCCTTTATTGTCTGTAATGAGTTTCTCTCTTTCCGGAACCTCTGCTGGGATGGAGGAGGAAGCCAGGCCTTGTCAGCGGGTCCTGGTTCTGGGCAGGGCTGGGCCAGCAAAGCCTGCCCTCACTCAGGACTCGCTGTCTCACTGCTGGCTGCCAGGGAAAGGGTTCTGTGAGCTTGAACGAGGTGCCATGCCCCAACACACATGCACACATGCATATGCACACGCACACAGACACACAAACACAGACACACACGAACACACATGCATGCACACACACACATGCACACACATAGACAGCTGCCCCTCCAGGCACAAGCCCTGGCAGCTCCCTCCTGGGCTCCTGTGATGGACAGGAGGTCATGTTCAGCTGGAGTGAGGGGAGCTGGCCAGCTCAGAGTGTGTGGGTCTGTGTAAATAGCAGGGGTGGGGCCTTGGTGAACTGGATGATCTCAGATGCTGGTTGAGGACTGGGGGTCTCACATGGCCCATCCTGAAGGCCCAGTGGGGACAGAGCCTGCCTGGGCAATGAGGAACTGGCAGGTGGCTAAGGTTTGCAGAGCCATACCTGCACCCCATTCTCTGCCTGCTCTGCCTCAGGACAGCTTGGGTGTCTGCAGTCCCTTCCAGAACATGAGGCTGTGCCAGAGGCCAGGCAACAGGGCTCAGATCGGCCTCAGAGGCAGGATGAGAGATGAGTGCCCCTCATGGAGTGGGCACAGGCTCCTGGCACCTTAAGGTCAAGTCCTAGTTTGAAAATGTCCCCGCTGGGAGCTCCAGGGAGCCCACACCCCCGGCTCCTCTGGGCACAAGAGGGGCCCACGCAGAGACCCCTGAGCAGCCCCAGGCCAGGTGGTGTCTGGGCACTGTCCAGATCACTTCGAGAAGGACCTGGAGAGGTGGACCAGCAAGAGAGAAGGACTGGTAAGGATCTGGAGAGAGTCCAGTGGGGGCTGTCACCAGGAGTGCTGAACTCAGACCCCGGGCAGCTCTGCCCCCAGTGGTTGTTGTCCCTGGTGTCCCCTGAGCACCTGGGCCTCCTGGCCCATCTGCGTGGGGCCCTCCATGGGCACTCGGGGGCCCAGGGAAAGAGGGCTGACCTCCAGCCAGGCAGAGCCACTCTGATACTTAACATCAATTTTATTGTCAAGAAATCTCAATGTTGTTTCTACTGCCTGGAACTTCCCTAATCAAAGGATAGATCTGTGTGGTGGGTAAAGAGAGGCTTGAGCATAATTTCATTAAGTCTAAAATAACAGTGGAATGTGGGCGAGGCCGGTGTGGCCCCTGGGCCTCCTGCATGATGAGCACCCTGGGCGGCTCCAGGCCTGGCTCAGCAGCGCGGCTCTGGCCAGCATGTGCTTTCAGCCATGGCGGTTTCCCTTTGTGGAGAAGAGAGTGGCAGTAGGACCACATCGGGAGACATTCTTTGGGCCCAGGGGTCGGGGCAGTCCCTTTGGGCCCAGAGGGGCTCATCATCCCAAAGGGTTTTCAGTCATGCCGTGAGTGTGCTGCCCAGCTCAGAGCCCACAGAGAGGCCAGGTGACCCTGTGGGTGGATGCTCAGCAGATGGGCATCCCTGCCAGCTCCAGCCTCGGCCCCCAGAAGTGCTCCCAGCCCGGCTCTGTCCCCAAAAGGCCCTTTGACCAGGGTGTGTCCTGCCAGCTCTGAGACGCAGGGCCGCCCTCAAACCAGGCAGACACGGGGTCCTCGCTGGCATCTGCTGGCCTCAGTATAGGTGACTCTGGGCTTGGTCCTGTTCCAGCCTTGGCATGGGCACCCCACCTGGGTGCCTGGTTCTGGAGGGAGACAGGCTTACTGGGCGCCCACCTTGGTGCCAGGCCACAGGGTCAGGAGAGGCAGAGCCAAACTTCCCGAGAGCCCCGCTCTCTCTGGGCCTGGGGACTTGGGGGTGTCTGTAGCCCCCTGGCTTGTGGGTGATTCTCCTTATTCAGAGGGGCCTCCTTCCAGCCATCCCAGATAGTGTGGCCACAGGAGGAAAGATGTGCAGGCAGCACTGCTGTCCATGGTGCTGAACCTGGTGTCGGTTTTTGCCAGGCAGTCACCTCCCCCCACATCCCCACCCCCACCCTGGCTGATGGGCCAAGGACCTGACCTCAGCACTCAGGGCCTGACTGCCCCATAGCACCTCTGGCATCCTCTGGGCAGCCTAGACTTCGTTACTGAGTACCCTTGTCCTCTGAGTCTGCCCCTGGCCTTGACTCTTGGTGTCCCCAGAGTCTGACATCTCAGTGCATGCTTCCTGAGCTAGTGGATTCATGAAGGAGCCTGTGGTCTCACTAGCAGCCCAGTGGGCTTGCCCAGGGTGGGGGTTCCTGTGGGTATCATGTGAGCTGTTCTCTGAGAAAAGTGAGGACAGTGGCTGAGATCAGGGGCCTGTCATTGCTGCTATAGAGGCCGAAGTCAGGGATTCCTGCATGCCCAGCAGTCCTGTGCTTTTCTAATCGATGGGCGACCAACTGTGATTACAGATCACAGCCCAGTATGGGCACTGGGTGGGTGTTGTTGGCTGCAGGTGGGAGGACATTGCTGGGTTCAGGTGCAGGTTGAATTTGGAAGGCTAGAGAAGGAGCAAGTGGGGTGAGATCTGTGTTAATGGATCACATGGTGGCTTCTTGGTGGGAGAGGCAGAGTGAGGATGCTGCTGTAGGGCTTGGGGAGCATGATGAGCTCTTCAGGAGCCTGTGATACAGGCAGTGGTGTTGGGAGGGGGAAAGGTGATTCTTGACTCAGGGTTGCCTGAGGAGTGGGGGGCTTGAAGGCCTCTTCTCGGTCAAGGCCCAGGATGGGACATGAGGGGACGCAGAGACGCTGCATTACAGGAGGCAGACACGGATGACCACCAGGGGACACTCGGCTTTGAGGAGTTCTGTGCCTTCTACAAGATGATGTCCACACGCCGGGACCTCTACCTGCTCATGCTCACCTACAGCAACCACAAGGATCACCTGGATGCTGCTGACCTGCTGCGCTTCCTAGAGATGGAGCAGAAGGTGAGGGCCCCCCAGCAGGAGCGAGGCTCCTGGTCGAGGTGGCCTCCCCTCAGCTTCCCCGGCCATTTGAGCCTGTCCACAGTGTGGGAGAAGGGTGGGCACCAGCCTGGCATTTGAGGCCCATGTACTGGACCTGCCCAGGCTCTCATCAGCCACCCCGCCGCCAAGCAGGTGGGGAAAGAGGGCAACTCAGCTCTGACTGTGCCCCAGCCCAGAGCTTGACCACAGCCCAGACTTTAGCATTGAGCATCTCCTGGCCTAGGATACATGACCCAGCCTTCCCACCTGGGCTCACACCCCCAGGGTTCTGCGCCCATTGCCAACTCATTCAAACATTTGTCCAGCAGATGTGTGGGTGCCTGTGGGGGCCAGCTGAGTATGCCTGCCCACTGTCCTAGACCCCGGGAAGCTCCATCCCTCTGAGAGGCATTGCCTAATTAAAGCTCAGGGACCAGAAACTCAGGGGTCTGGGTGGAGGCCAGGTGCTGCCCGCTCTGGTAGGATGGAGGCTGGAAGTCCATGGAGGGGGAGGGGAAGGTCAGCATCCTCTGAAGAGACAGCACTCACCAAGGGGGTGGGGGATAGGGGTGCTCAGACACAGACTGCATAGACACTGCCCCCAGGCTGGTGGAAGAAGGCCATGAGGACCAGGGTCTGGGCCTGTAACTTCCCGGGACCCTTGCAGAGCTACTTTTGGGGTAACCTTCAGGCCCCAGCTGCCTTGCCCTTCTGGGGTCAGACTTTCTGACCCCAGGACTGCTCAGGGCTCTCATCCCACCTGCCTCATGTGCAGTGTCAGCTCATGGTGATGGGCTGGGGGTTGACCACCACTGGGAAGGGCTGGGGGCTGGGTGTTGGGAACCAGGAGAGGCTGTGGACTCATTCTGGGTCTGGGTGGTGGTCACCTTGGACTTCTTACCAGTGTCCTGACCTGGGGAGCTGCCCCTGCACTGTGCTCCTGGGTCTCCTCCCCCACCACTACCATCACGCAGTTTGCTGAGGCCTTCCTCCTGTCCTGCTGATGGGGACACTGGGGTTTGCCCAGGCAGGAGAGGTGGGTACCAGGCTGGCTGTGGGCAGTGTTGGCATGAGGCTGAGGGGCAACTGTCCCAACAGCTGGCATACCTGGGGGTGGAGGAAGGGAATGGGGCCCAGTGTGGGAAGGGCAGCACTGACCCCTTGCTCCCTGACCTTTGCCCTAAGCTTTCCACAGCTCTCCCTACAGTCTGGGGCCCAAATCAGCTGGGTGGTTTGGCCTCCTGGGTCTGCAGCTGCTCCAAGCTCTGACCCCATCTGTCCACTCCACTATCCATACCTGCCCTAGATTCCTGGGGGTGTCCAGGAAGCCCTGCTGGTGGGCCTGTCTCCAAGAGCTGGGGGTTCCTGGGGGCTGCACTGTGGGGCCCTAAGAATCGCTCAGCCTCTGACATGGGGCCACCTGGGCCCGGCTGTTGTGTGCAACTTTCTTGAGAGGGACTTGGGCAGATGGCAGGAGGGGCCAGGTGAGCCACCTCCGCTCCTCCAAGATGGGACATGATCCTGGCCCTCCTGTGCCTTCTTATACCAGGTCTCACTCCTGCTAGCGCACCCTGGGGGTCCTGAGACCCCCAGAATGGCGTCAGCTGGGGATGGCCCAGCTGATGAGGCCAAAGACGCTTCCCCTGGCAGGGATCCTCAACCAGCGCCAGCTCTTCCAAAGCCAGGGGACCCTCTATCTTCTGCTGGCCGTCGAGTCCCAAGTCTTGTGACACTAGGGGTGGCCAGTGAACCTCCTGGTGGGGTGAGCACACTACAAGGAGCAGAGTCTCAGCCCCGCCATGTCGGCCCCTGGGTGATGCAGCGGTCAGAGGTGGGGTGGGAGGGTTGGCCGTGGTGGAGGAGGATGAGGGGCTGCCTGGGGCCAACTTGGTCTCAAGCCCCTGCTCTGGCCTAGATGACGGGTGTGACCCTTGAGAGCTGCCGCGACATCATTGAGCAGTTTGAACCCTGCCCAGAGAACAAGAGTAAAGGGGCAATGGGCATTGATGGTGAGTGGGTGCCACCCTGGCCCAGCAGTGCTGCCAGGCCAGTGGGGTGCCAAGGGGGCCACATGCCAGGAGGGTGGGTGGTCTCGAGATGAGCCCAGTGCGGGACTGGCACACGGGGGCTAAACCCCTCGCTGCCCCCCCCCCCCCACGCTCCTCCCCACAGGCTTCACCAATTACACGCGGAGCCCCGCTGGCGACATCTTCAACCCGGAGCACCACTGCGTGCACCAGGACATGACACGGCCGCTGAGCCACTACTTCATCACCTCGTCTCACAACACCTACCTCGTGGGCGACCAGCTCATGTCCCAGTCGAGGGCGGATATGTATGCCTGGGTCCTGCAGGCCGGCTGCCGCTGTGTGGAGGGTGAGTGCTGGGCTCCGGGACCCTGCACCCCCGCTTGGCCCTGGGGGCCAGGCCTTGGCTGTGGGCTGGCCTCTCCGAGGAGCCCTGTGTCTGGCAGGGGCTGGCATAGGTATCTCTTGGTGTTAACTGCGGAGCAAGAAGACTGCTTCCAGTTGGAGCCCATGGGCTGTGGGTCCCTAGGCCTTGGTGGTCCAGTCCCTGGAACCCACTGAGGTCTGCCTGCCTGCAGTGGACTGCTGGGACGGGCCTGATGGGGAGCCCATCGTGCACCATGGCTACACGCTGACCTCCAAGATCCTCTTCAAAGACGTCATTGAGACCATCAACAAGTACGCCTTCATCAAGAATGAGTGAGTGACTGGGACTGGGGGGCTGGCCCCCGGGGGGTAGGTGGGGGAGGGAATTAAGGGATTCTTTCTGCCCCTCCCCCACATCATTTCTGGGGAGCAGGGGTTGTAGTGGCCGCGGGGCTGGTTTCAGGCTTTCTTGTTGAGGATGAGGGGCAGGGAAGGGGTAGAAGAGGGTAGAAGGTGGTAGGTGCAAGAGCAGCATGGGCTGGGAGGGGTGTGTGTGTCAGCAACGCTGCCCCCACACACTTGGTGGCAACACCAGGTGTCAGACGCCTCCAACAGTGGCTCTGGCACTGACTGTCCTTAAGAAGCTACTCGGCGTCCAGACTCACTTTGCTGTCACTCAGCTGTGGCTATAGACACTATTGAACAAAATCCAGTTTAGTTTCTGAAAATAGAAGACCGCCTCCCCACACTGTTGGTTACCCCAAATCAGCGAGGCTCGCAGGCGAGGGAAGAGCTAATTGAATGAAGAGGAGAAGGAGGCTGACTTAAGAACTAGAAACAGAGGGGTTTCTCTTGGAGGACCTGGCCCAGGCTCTGTCTCGGAAGTGGGTGGGCCTGGGGGCCCTCTGCAGAACAGCCTGGCCTCTGGAACTGCAGGTGACGGGGCATCCTGGGCAGTGGGGCTGGGACATACAGGTCTCCTGAATCTGTCAAAGACCCAGGGGCCTGCTGGGGTCTCAGGATGGGGGCCACACCTCCCACGTCAGCATCATGTTTACAGGCACTTGGTTCTCGCCTGAGAACTGAGGAGAGGAGCACCTTTGCCTCAGGCCCTGCCTCCCTGCATCACAGGATTCACCCATCTCTTGCTCTAGTTTGTGACTTCTAGGTTGGGGTCAGTTACATTTTCTAAAAGGATTATGTTGCCTTTTGGCAAAAATCCAAGTAACTGTGCACATGACTGAAAAGAATAAATCAAACAACTGAAGAGCCTATTACAAAAATGCCCACACTGCTCTCCTTACCTGCACCATGCAGGTCATAGCTGTGCCAGACTGTATCTCCCTCCTTATTGGGCCAACACTGGGCCCCAGGGCCACACACCGGACAGCGTCTCCAGGATCTCGGTGAATGGGAATCTTTCTCACAGTCTGTCTGTTGCTCCACATTCCACCTCAGTTCTTTTGACCCCATTTCATGATTTGCTTGAATGTTTCCTTTTGTTTTTCCTGGAGTTTCTAGTTGCCTTTGATTTTTTTCTTGTGGGGAGAAGTACATGCCTTCTTTACCTACCCTCAAGGTCTCCTGGTTCCTATCCTCCACACTCAGTTGCTTTTAAAAATTTTTTTTATTTATTTCTTTTTGGCTGCACTGGGTGGCTTCTCTTATTGCAGTGCACAGGTTCCAGGGCACTCGGGCTTCAGTAGTTGTGGCCTGTGGGCTTAGTTACCCCAAGGCTTGTGGAATCTTCCCAGACCAGAGGTTGAACCCATATCCTCTGCATTGGCAGGTGGAGTTTTAACCACTGGGCCACAGGGAAAAGTCCTCACCCTCCCAGAATGGCTGGCAGCCACATCTCTCCTGGGCTCCTGTGAAGACCCCCCTTCCTCATTCAGTGCTGCAGGTGACCTGTGGTCCTACATGGTGGGACCTGGCCTTCCCCCAGCCTCATCCTGCTCCTTCCATCTTGGGACCACAGGTACCCAGTGATTCTGTCCATCGAGAATCACTGCAGTGTCATCCAGCAGAAGAAGATGGCCCAGTATCTGACTGACATTCTTGGGGACAAGCTGGACCTGTCATCAGTGAGCAGCGAGGATGCCACCATGCTGCCCTCTCCCCAGGTGCTCAAGGGCAAGATCCTGGTGAAGGTGAGACCCTGCCTGCCATTCCTGGTGCCAGCATCCTGCTGAGCCTCTGACCTCTGACCTCCGACCTAGGGTCAGGGCAGGGTAGGGCCCTGCTCCAGACCGGCTGGGGTTCCACAGCATCTGTGATAGATTTGAAGGGTCAGGACAAGACCTGCCCCTGCCCTGGCCTCCATCTCCCCAGGGAGGTCCATCAACCTTGGGCCCTCGGCAGGCACATCAGGGCATGTCCCTCCTGTGATGCCGCTGCAGGGCTGGCCCTGCCCCTGGCCTGAGAGCCACAAACAAGCTTGGGAAAGACACCCACCCTTAGCTGCTGCTCCTGTGGGTACTGGCCTCCTAGCACTTCCCACAGGGCCCTTCTCATGGCCCACCTGCTCCCCCAGGGCAAGAAGCTCCCAGCCAACATCAGCGAGGATGCTGAGGAGGGCGAGGTGTCTGATGAGGACAGCGCAGATGAGATCGATGAGGACTGCAAGCTCCTCAATGGGGATGTGAGTGAGGAGGGGGGACCTTCTTCCCAGATCGGGGAGCCACAGCCCTGAAGGGCCAGCTCATGGCTTGGTTGTGGGATGGAGGCAGCAGGGACAGAGGGGCATGGGAAAGCTTGAGGGTAAGTTGCACAGCTGCCAGGCTGCTGGGCATGCAGTCAGCCTGGGCCACAGGAGGCCCCCTGCCCAGCCACTCCCCCATAGGATACAAATCCCGAGTTCCCAGTGAGTGACTGTCACCTCTTTTCCCAGCATCATGAGACTGGGGCAGTGCTGAGAGGCTGAGGAGTCAGCACCAGCCTCCAGCAGCAGAGGAGTGGGCCATGGGGAGGTGGCCATGGGGAGGTGGGGAGGCCTCTAATTAGCATCCTCCCTTTTCTGGGCGCTGCTGAGGTATTATTTCTCCCTGAGGGGCCATCGGATGAGAAAGCAATTGTGTGGAGCTCTCGGCCCTGCTGGCTAATTGTTTTAGAAAGCCCTGAGGCAGTGGATTCTTCCCGCTCTGGGTGGGCCTGCACATTTCCCTGCCTGGCCCGAGGCGACGGTAAACCCTACATCTGCACTGGCCCCTTTGCACCCACTGTACCCTGGGTGTGGGGGTGCCCAGATACCCTGCCACACTGTGGCTGCTCCCCACCCCCATTCATCTCCTCCAGACACAAGGTGGCTAGTGGTCGGTTTCCGATCTTGAGCCGCCCCGAGCACATAATGGCAGCTGGGCGCCCATGATTCGTCTGCGGGTCCCACAGCAACGCGGTGCAGCTGAAGGAGGCGGGTGTTGGAATCAGCTGGGCCTGAGCCTGCTGGCACCATCTGGGGCCCCAGGACAAATTGCACACCTACTGTGCACCCCGGGGGGAGCAGGGTAGGGGGTGAGGACCAGCACGTTGATGCAGGAGTGAGCCTGTGGTCAGTGCCAAGTGTGAGAGGAGCGGTGGGGTGGCACTGACCCTGCCGAGACCCCAAACGCTGTCCACACTGCTGCCCGCAGGCTGGGGATGAAGGCCAATGAGCTGGCTGTCTGCCTCTCGCAGGCCTCCACCAACCGGAAACGTGTGGAAAACATTGCCAAGAGGAAACTGGATTCCCTAATGAAGGAGTCCAAGATTCGGGACTGCGAGGACCCCAGCGACTTCACCGTGTCCACGCTGCCCCCACCTGGCAAGCTTGGGCACAAGGCAGAGGCCAAAAAGGTGAGTGCCCAGAGGCTATGAGGCGGGTTGCCTGCAGCTGGGAGAGGGGCTGGCACGTGAGGTCTCTGCACACCTGCACACTCACCTGCACACACACACCTATATACACCTGCGCACTCACCTGTGCACACACACACCTACATCTGCACACACACACACCCATGCGCACATACACTGCCCCTGGTGCATATATCCACCCCAGGTCCTCCAGGAGCTCACACCTGGCTCTTCGGAGTCTCTTCTTGAGACACCTGCAGCCATGAGTGTCACAAGGCAGATGACCACGGTGGGGCCTCCCCATGTGTATGGCTGACAATTTGTCCCTAGAGGTCTGTGGGCAACTCCTCTAGCCTCCACCCTCCCCACCTGTGGGCAGGAGCGTATGGCAGCCCCCGAGGCACCTCCAGCTCCTCCCAGAAGAGGACTTGGGCATGGCCTCGGGGGTCTGGTGGTGACCGGGAGGGGCTCAGAGTGGTGAGTCCTGGCAGCTGTCCAGCTGCCTCCTGTCCAGAGGCCCCCAGCCTCACAGGGAACTGCAGCTGAGCTCCGGGAAGTACCTTCGCAGGGAGAACAGTGTGGCGGCTGTCAGGGCAGACATAAAGCCTGGGGGCCAGGCTGGGCTGGCCAGGACCAGCGGCTGTGGTGCCATCTGGAGGGACTGGCTGACACTGGAGGGGGGTCACATCAGCAGAGTGGTCTGGGGGGAAACCCGTGGGGGCTGTGATGGGCAGGGTGGCTGGCCCTAGGGCTAGGAGGGTTCCAGTTGGTCTTGCAGACCCCATTTTGCGAGACAAGATACATCCGGCTCTGTGTGCTGGTAGGAGGGGCTGACATGGCCCTGCTGCCCACACACCCCCACCGCCGAGGACGGAGAGGGGTGCTGTCTCCCTGCCAAGCTGGGGTGCCAGGGGAGGGGTTGGGTGACAGCAGATTCCGGCCCTGGCCACAGTACCTCTTTAGGATGCCGGGCCAGCATGCACCTCTTTGCTCTGTGCCCAGATTCAGGGGTACTGCTATGCTGGGTGACCATGGGGTTTCAGGTGAGGGTTAAAGAGCCAAGAAGTGTGTCAGCCTTGCTGGCTGCAAACACCATGAACACAGATTCCCACACCTCTGCCAGCTCATGGGTTTCCTGAGCACCTCTGTTACCCAGGGTCTGCAGCTTGGGATTTGCCAGCGCCCCTCCATGTAGCCTGCCAGCCGGTGGGAGACAGGACTCCCCGGGCGGTGGAGGAGGGGACCGGGGTCAGAAGAGCAGCAGAATTGGTGGGGGGCGGGCGACTCCTGGGAGCCTCCTGACACTGCAGGCAGTGTCTCCAGCCAGGTGCCCCTTCTCTAGCACGAGAGCAGAGAAGGCATCTGGGGGGATGGGCCTGTGGCTGTCCCCACCCCTCTTTGCTGGGCCTGAGGGCCTCCTATCCCTCACTCCAGCTCCAGGCTCCCTGCTTGGTGACCAGAACCCAGACCTGAAGGGTTCTGCTCATCCGCTGGTTGAGGCCAGCGGACTGAGGGAGGAGTATGTGCAGGGGTGCCCCCAGGGGTGTGTGTACAAGCTCACACACAGGGTGTATACGTTTGGCTGAAGCCCCTCCCTGACAGGGAACATCGGCTTCAAAACCAGCTCCTGCCATGGTGTGGTAGGCACACCCTGAGCAAACCTGGGAGGGTTGTGGGGGCCTCTGTGGAAGGGGCTGGGGGGGCAGTTGGTGGTGGCTGCAGCGAGTGGCCTCAGGGACCGGGCACTCCAGGGGTGTAACTGAGCTTCAGCCTGGGCTTCCCTAGATGTCTCAGCAGGTAAAGAATCTGCTTGCAATGCGGGAGACCTGGGTTCGATCCCTGGGTTGGAAAGATCCCCTGGAGAAGGGAATGGCTACCCACTCCAATATTCTGGCCTGGAGAATTCTATGGACTGTATAGTCCATGTTGTCACAAAGAGTCAGACACCACAGAGTGACTTTCACTTTCATGGATGACAGCTTTGGGCTTCAATGACAGATGACAGAGGTGGACAGGCCACAGTGCTGCCAGGACTGGGCCCCCGCCTGGTGAAGGGGGCAGGGGCTGGGAAGGGAGCTGCCCACATGTGTGTTCTGTAAATGGTGGTGAGGAGGCTCAGTCCTGTGGCTTCAGGAGTCTTGCTGCAGCCCCAAGTGCAAGCAGTGGATGGCTACAGCCCTGGGGACTGTCTAAGGAGGTAACACCTCTGCCGCTGTGAGAAGCAGGTCAGGGCTCCTGAGCTTGGGATCCTCGAACGAGGATTACATAAGCAGGCATTCCACGGAATATTCCAGACACACTGATGGTATTCATTATGCAATCACCATCCATGGGGAAGAATCAGAACTGGGCACTTAGTGAGTTTAGAGCGGGACATTGTGGGGAGCTGATTTGGCCAGGCCCCTGCTCCTGGAAACTGCCTCTTTGTACCCCATGTGGGTGGCGACTCTGCCTCCTGAGGGCCTGGGACAGTGGCCAGCCCAAGGCCCAGCTACCCCCTTCCTCCAGCCCCCTCTCAGCTCCTCTTCTTCCAGGAAGAAGCCACTGGGAGGAGCTGCCTGCCCATGCCCCCGGCCTGGTCAGAGGCCGGGCTCACTTGGCCCCCTGTTTGTCTCTGCTTCCAGCTCGAGGAGGACGTGGAGATCGGGGAGGAGGCTGGAACCAGCCGTCGGAACAGCCGGCTCCTCGTGGGCAGCTTCTCCAAGCGCAAGGTCTGCCAGGCTCCCAGGCAGGGAGCCTGCCCCTATGTCCCCCAGCCAGAGGTGGGGTGGAGGCTTCTCCAGCCCTGAGGGTCCCTGGGATTCCTGGCTGCCTTCTCGGGCTACAGGTGCCAAGTGTGGAGCCTTGATCAGGGCTGGATGAAGCAGGTGTCTCTATGGCCCTCCCTTGGTCAACAGTGGCCAATGCCCAGAGCTCAGGTCCTCCAGGGCCCAGGTTGAGCAGGGCACTGCAGAGGAGGGGCAGGCCCAGCTGCAGCGTGGGTGCCAGGACCCCAGGTCAGCAGGTCCTTTCCCCAAGCCTGAGGCTCCACCCATCTTGACTCTGCCCTCCTTCTGCACAGAAAAAGAGCAGCAAGCTGAAGAAGGCGGCCAGTGTGGAGGAGGGGGACGAGGACCTGGACTCGCAAGGCAGCCAGAGCCGGGGGTCAGTGCCCACCTCCATCCTCCGCCCTTGAAGAGATGGCTGCGTGGAAAGTGCTGAGGCCGTTGTTTCGGCAACAGCAGGCGTCAGATGCGCAGGCTCAGAGGGGGCATGGAGGCCCGAGGCAGGGCCCCCGGGGTGCAGGGCCGGCAGCTCCCCGTGCTCCTTTCCTTAGGATTGGTCAGGGTCGGTGCTCCTCCGTAGGTTCAGCACCTGCCCCCTTCCCCAGCGTCCCCTCTCAGTGCATCCATGTGTGACCCGAGCCCTGGAATACTCGGGCACAGTGGGTGCCTGATGGACGCTCCCCAGAGCTTCAAGGGGAGGAGTGAGACCCAGGTCCTGACCCCAACAACTCCCTCCCGCAGGGCCGCCCGGCAGAAGAAGACTATGAAGCTGTCTCGGGCCCTCTCGGACCTGGTCAAGTACACCAAGTCTGTGGGCACCCACGACGTGGAGACGGAGGGTGAGGGGCCGCTACAAGTGGGGCCCTGGGAGGAGCGGGGGCCATTGGGATGGGAGCATGGGGACAGGGCAAGGCCCTGAGGGCCCTCGGGGTCTGGGACATTGGGGCGGGGCCGTGGGGGTTGAGCCATTGGGGGCAGGGCCCTGGAGGGGCGTGGCCATGGATGTGGGCGGTGCCATAGAGGGGCGGGGTCATTGGGAACAGTGCGCCGGGAGGGGCAGGGCCATTGGGGCGGAGTCCAGAGGGGGTTGCTCCCAGACCCGGTGCCCTGACCGCACCCGTTCGGCCCACAGTGGCGTCCAGTTGGCAGGTGTCCTCCTTCAGCGAGACCAAGGCTCAGCAGATCCTGCAGCAGAAGCCGGCGCAGTACTTGCGCTTCAACCAGCACCAGCTCTCGCGCATCTACCCCTCCTCCTACCGCGTGGACTCCAGCAACTACAACCCGCAGCCCTTCTGGAACGCCGGCTGCCAGATGGGTGGGTGCCTGGGCCCTGGGGCAGAAAAGGCGGCCGGGGCGGCGAGGGGGAGATGGCCGGACTCCGCAGTCGCTCTGCTTAGCTCTCTCGCCCCTGACTCTGGAGAATCTTGGAGGTATCCAGTCACCCTCACCAGGATGGCACTGGTGGGAGCCCTGAGGGCGGGGACCTTAGGACTCCAGGGTCAGGTGGTGAAAGACCCAGTCTGCCCAAGCTCTGCCCCTGCGCCGGGGCAGCTGTTTTGGCTCTAAGAAAGTCCTGCCAGGTCGCACAGCCCTGGTTGTGCCCAGTGTGACCCTAGCAGACTTGGGCTCACCGGCAGTGCAGAGGTGGGACGCGTGCACCTGGCGCTGACCCAGCCCCCTCGCGTTCTTCCTGGCAGTCGCCCTGAACTACCAGTCGGAGGGGCGTATGCTGCAGCTGAACCGGGCCAAGTTCAGCGCCAACGGCAGCTGTGGCTACGTGCTCAAGCCTCAGTGCATGTGCCAGGGTGAGAACATGGCCCCGGAACCCCCACCATGCCAGGATCTGGAGCCCTTCCCCAGCCCGCCCCTACACGAAGCTCCCTGGGTGAGGCGCCCTTGAGCGAGGTCTGGCTGGGCACTTGCTCCTCCTTCTCAGACACCTCAGCTTCTCCCGTATGTGCTGAAAGCAACCTGTGGGTCTTTTCCTGCTGTCACCCTGAACCCCATCCCTGGGCACCCAGTCCCCCATCCAGAGGCAGTGTGGCCTTGCACCCACGCTGAGGCCCTATGGTTCACCCGTGGAGGAAATGAGCTGGGATCACATCACGGGATGGTCACAGAGGTGACCAGCCCCTCGACACCCCTGCACTGGAGCATTGCCTCCCCTCCCTGTCCTGCACCTGGGACTCCCGTCTGGTTGATGGGGGAGAGGTGGGAGTGGGTGCCCTGGGGCTGCCCCAGTGAGCCAGTCAGGGGCTCACCTTGCCTGCTCATCCTCTTGCCCTGGCCCCACATAGGCATCTTCAACCCTAACTCCGAGGACCCCCTGCCTGGGCAGCTCAAGAAGCAGCTGGTGCTGCGGATCATCAGTGGTCAGCAGCTGCCCAAGCCGCGGGACTCGATGCTGGGGGACCGAGGGGAGGTAGGCAGGAGGGCCTCGGCAGGCGGGAGGGCCTGGCTGTTGGCCTGGCCCGCGGTGCTACCCTGCCCTGTGTACCAGATCATCGACCCCTTCGTGGAGGTGGAGGTCATCGGGCTCCCGGTGGACTGCAACAAGGAGCAGACCCGAGTGGTGGACGACAACGGTGAGCATGTGGGCGGGGTGGGGGTGCAGGAGGGGCGTGGGCACCCAGAGGCCAGCCTGTGCCCCCAGGCCCCATCACAACTCCTGTGCTGGTGATGCTGGTCTGACCAGGTAGGGAAGGGCAAGGGCTGCAGCCTGTAACTCACATAACTGCCCAGGCTGCCCTCTTGGTGGGGAGCCCAGTGACAGCCACCTGGCCTTCCAGTGTTGCTTCTCTGTGCCAGCAGCCAGCCTAGGAGAAGCTGCTGGGAGAGGGTGTGGGCCCAGGTGGCCTCCGGGTTGGAGCTGTGATGGGGACAGGCCTGCCTGAGAGGTGGGGATGGGACAAAGGTGACAGACACCGCCTCCTGGTGGCCTCCAGGATTCAACCCCATGTGGGAGGAGACCCTGGTGTTCACGGTGCACATGCCTGAGATAGCGCTAGTACGCTTCCTCGTCTGGGACCACGACCCCATTGGGCGTGACTTCATCGGCCAAAGGACGCTGGCCTTCAGCAGCATGATGCCAGGTGTGCAGGGGTCCTGTGAGGGTGGGGGAGGGCAGAGCCCGGGGCCAGTGCCCCTAAGTGTGTCCCCTGAGGACCAGCAGAGGGCTCTAGGATGGGGCGAGTTGGCTCCTGCCTCTCTTGGGCCTGGGGACACTGCGGGCGCTGAGGAGGAGGGTTCAAGGCCATAGCACTGTGTGGCTGGATGGGGGAGGGGAGTTCTAACCACAGAACCCCTCAGCTCCCAGAGGAGGAAAAGATCCTTGCAGCTGAGGCAGTTCTGGGAGGCTTCCTGGAGGAAGCAGAGTCCCCAGGATCCAGCTCTTGGGTTGTAATCAGGGCCTCAGGACCTTTAAGTAGAGCAGGGCGCTGGGGTGAGAACGCCCCCTGCTGTTTCAGGCTATCGGCACGTGTACCTGGAGGGGATGGAAGAAGCCTCTATCTTTGTCCACGTGGCCGTCAGTGACATCAGTGGTAAGGTGAGTGCCACCTACAAGGTCACTTGTCATATGGGGCACACCAGCCCCACCCCACCCCTTTCATCTCTGTCCTTGGTGGATATCTTGATGGGCCTGTGTCTCCATCCAGGAAGGGGTTGGTGGGGCCCCCGATGAACCTCCGCCAGCCCTGCCTCCATGTCTGCCAGGATGTGGGAGCCATGGTCCTTCTCGGGCACCCCTGGTCCCTCCCGTCTCCCCTGAGCCCCCCTCTACGGCTTGGGGCCCCCAGTTCTCTGTCTATTGTTGAAGGCATCTGCCTGGCTTTGCCTCCTGTCTCCCCCTCATCCCAGCACATTTATCCCAGGAGAGGGTCTGCTCCCACTTCCCCAGTGTGCAGAGCCCAGGGGTCCCCGGTTCTGTGTCCGGGGCCCAGCGGGGCTGTAGGAGGTGGTCTGTCAGGCACACACGGGGGCCCGCGCGCCTGCCGGCACTAACTGTCTTTCTCCTGCCTCGCTCCTTGACCCCGGGTGCTGCCAGCGGGGACCCCGCAGGCCTCCCAGCTCCATCGTGCGTGCGTGGTCGCCCTGTCTGTCCTGTGTCTCCGTCTCTTCGCTGCACGCCTGCTGTTGGTGTCTCACGGCCTCACTCTGTCTCTTTGGTCTTGCAGTGGGCTTCTGTGTGTCCAAAGTCTACTTTTAGAAGCACAGCTCTGTTAGGAGCTCGAAGGTACCCCAGCGCGGGGGCGGCGTGGCCTGCCCGCCCCCACCTGCATGCTCAGGCCACCCCGTTAGCATCTGTGATTCCTGGTAGCATTTTGCAGACTGTCAGCTCACGTGACGTGGGTCGGGATGTGGTTCTGGGTCCCTGGGGCCATCCTCAGGCACAGAGCAGCATTTACGAGGCAGGTCCAGGACTTCAGCCAGGCCTCCCATGTGTCCGCCCCGAGGTCCGGCCCGTCTCTTCTTGCCCCTCCCTGTGTCTGGTCCTCTAGCTGCTGGCCCTCCTGGCGCCTGTGCTCTTCCCTCCCCCTCCTTCTGTGTGCCCCCCCACCCACAGCCTGCGTGCCCCTCTGATCTCTCTGTGCCTCGATGCCCCGTGCTAGGGGCGGAGAGGAGGGGAGAGGCCCCAGGGAGCAGGAGCTCTGAGCTTGAATTCTGGACCTTCCTCTAAATGACTTTCTCGCTGACTCTGACCAAATTGCTCTGGATTTGGGATCTTGAATCAGGCAGCTGATTCAAGTGCTGGCCACTAACGCCTCCACCCTGACGTGCTCCATGTCATGGGCACCGTGACTGTTTGCAGGGTCTCTGCATGCGAGGACCCAGTTGGCCTGTCCGGTGTTGACCGAGGCACTTGTCAGCCGGTCCTGGGGACCCTGGCTGCCCTCTTCAGGCAGGGAGGCTACGGGGAGAGGCCTTGCAGGGACTTCCTGGGCCCAGCTGCCTGGGAAGGCCCTGGACCAGCATTGGTTCAGTGGGCACCAAGTGAGCGTGGGCTCTGCTCCTGAGGCCCCATGACCAGAGAGCAGGGCAAGGCTGGGAGCATGGCCTGGCAGGAGCCCGGAAAGGCTTCCTGGAAGAAGCAGCACCTCCAGACAGTGGGCCGGGCAGGGGCCTGGGCGAGAGCACGGGGCTACACCTGGCTGTGCTTGCTGCCTCGGCCACAGTGCCTGGGGTGGGTGAATGGGACTGGGGCTGCTCCATTGGGATCTTACCCTGCAGCGCTCTCTGCACCAGCCCTGTGCCAGCCTGCCCTCAGAGCTGGGGGCCAAGGGCTGGAGGGGTGCAACGTGCAGTGGGCACGGGGCTGGGGCCCAGGTCTCTGCTTAGGAGACCCTCCAGCCCTTCCTGGGACACTTGCCCTGAGACCTGCAGCCCCTCTGCCAGCACCCACTCACTCCACCTGGTGCAGGCTGGGTTGAGGCTGCAGATGCAGCCGCTGCTGACCCTGGTAGAGACGCCCTGGAGAACCTCCTCCTTAGGCTCAGCCCCGAGTGGTGCCTCAAAGCGAGCTGGTCTCTCAGGCTGCACCCTCTGGAGCTCAGCTGGATGGGGCTGGGAGGTCTCCAGCTCCCAGTGTCCGGCTGTCCCCTATGTATCTCCTTCTTTTGCAGGTCAAGCAGCCTCTGGGCCTAAAAGGCCTGTTCCTCCGAGGCCCAAAGCCCTGCTCCCTGGACAGTCATGCTGCTGGGCGGCCCCTGCCCCGGCCCTCCGTTAGCCAGCGGCTCCTGCGGCGCACGGCCAGCGCCCCAACCAAGAGTCAGAAGCCAGGCCGCAAGGCCTTCCCAGAGCTGGTCCTGGGCCTGCAGGACATGGGCTCTGAGGGGGAGGCTGGCGATGTGGCACCCTCCAGCCCTGGCCCCACCCCAGAGGCCCCAACCCAGGAGGAGCCGGGCAGCTACAGCCCCCGAGGTAAGGCGCCGGTGGAGAGGAGTCCAGAGCAGGGGCAGCCCCCGCGGGTGCCCACAGGCCCCGGGCCTGCCGGTATGGCTGCCACCTGCATGAAGTGTGTGGTGGGCTCCTGTGCTGGCGAGGATGCCGAGGGCCTGCGCAGGGGGCGGCTGCCCAGCCCGGAGCCTGAGGGCGGGCACTTGGCTATCAGCCAGCAGCCTCGTGCCTGGGAGGACTCGCTGGGGGCCCCCCACGCTGCCCCTGGGAGAAGCAGAGGAGCCCCCAAGGGCCCTAGGGCCCGGCAGCCAGGGCTGGGCGGCAGCGGCTCCGTGTCCTCAGACTCCAGCAGCCCGGGCAGCCCTGAGGGGGCCACCCGCTGGCCCGAGGGTGCCCGCAGGCAGGCAGGGGCCCTGCAGAGGGAGATGAACGCCCTGTTCATTCAAAAGCTGGAGGAGATTAGAAGTAAATCCCCCGTGTTCTCCACCGGTAAGACCAGACGCTCCTCGGCAGCGTCCCCGTGCTGGCCCCGCCCCACCCCGCATGGCCTGGCCGGCATCCCGCTGCGCTTCCGTGTCCAGAACCGTGGCCTTCGTGTGCTGTCTGTGCTCCATCAGCTGGTCCCGCGGGCCCTGCTGCCCCCAGCTCCCTGTGTGCCCACGATGTGCCCCGCGGGCCTGACACCTCTGAGGCTGGGAAGTGACCCCAGGAGGGGACTGGGGAGTCTGAGCTGGGCCCTGCTTGCCGAGGCCTGGAGGCCCAAGCGTGACCTCTGAAGACCAGCTCCAGTGCTCAGCCCAGCCTCCCTCCTTGGCCTGACTGCCAGGATGCGAGGGCAGTTTCCAGGCCCTCTTCCCACCTCTCCCCAGCCCTGGCCTGAACCGCAGTCCTCTGGAAAGACTGGCCTGGGCTCCTGGAAGGGGCTCGGAGCCTTGATGCCAGGGCTTCAGCTTGCAAAGTGTGAGGGGAGCAGATTGCAGGTGGCCCTCAGCCCTGGGGACGGGGACACACGTGTGAGCAGCTCTGCTCTGGACCCTCCCCTTGCCCCTGCCCTTGGGGTGGTAGTGACAGACCTATTTGTGGCCCCTGCTCACTGGGGAGCCGACCCTGGTCACAGGGAGCAGACCCAACCTGGGGAGGGTGCGCTGGAAGCTGAGCCTCCCTCCTGCACGTGCCCAGCCTCCCCTCCTGTGTCCATGGCCAGCCCCACACCCGCTGACCACCCTGTTCTCCTTTCTGTCCCCACGCTGCCTCCCTAGTTAGGAACTGAGAGCAGCCGAGTGCCAGGTAACGGGGCCCGGCCCCCGTGTGCCCTGCTGCCCTGGCCTTGGGAGGCCCCTGCCTATGGGCATAGAACCCAGTTCCTTCCCCAGCAGCAGTAGAACCAGAGGGTGGGCTGGAGGGAGGGGGGCATGGGGGCAGCTGTATGCACGTGGAGGGGCCTGAATGCGGGTGTCCTGTGGGCACGAAGCCCCAGGCCACTCCCGACACAGGCCTCTCTCTCTCCCCCACAGAGCCCCGCCCCTTCTCCATGCAGAGGTCGGTCTCCTCGCTGTGCAGCTTGGAAACCATTGCCGAGGAGCCAGCCCTGGGTCCCGGCCCCCTACTGCCTGGGGCAACTCCCCCCAGCCATGCCCCTGGAGGGCCCCAGTGCTCTGCAGGGCCCAGTGCCCACTCGGCAAGCCCCCCAAGGGCGGCTCTGGGAGCTCCCAGGCCCCTCCAGCTCCGGACAGGGAGCCAAGCGAGCGCTGAGCCAGCCCCGGGAAGCAGGCAGTGGGCGTGCAGCACTGGGGCCCCTGCTGGGGCCTGCAACGGGGCCCCCAGCGGCCATATAGACGGCAAGGGCCACCCCCGGGCTCTGGGTCACGTGCCCAGAAGGGCCAAGAGCGAGGGGCAGGTGCCCTCGGAGTCTCTGGGTGGACGGTGGCCCCTGGCCGGGCCCTGCCCCGCCGTGTCGTTAGATGCCACTGGAGGGGACCGGCTATGGCAGCGGCTGGAGCCAGGCAGCCACCGCGGCAGCGTGTCCTCGTCCTCCAGCCTGTCATCCAGTGATACGGTCATCGAGCTCGCCCTGCCAGGCCTGGGCCTGGGCCTGGGCTGCGACAGCCTCCCAGGGACCCTGGGGGGACGTCTGCCCTTGCGGCCCTGCTCAGCCCCGGTTGCCCGCCTGGACCCACCCGCTGTGACCAAGAGCAAATCCAACCCCAACCTGCGGGCTGCCGGCCAGCTGCCTGTAGGGCCCGACGGGCTGCAGCCCCTGCCCCTGGCCCCAGGGCCGCCCTGGCGCCGCTTCCCCCTGGCAGGCCTCCCGGACTGCACTGTGGCTGCCAAGTCTAAGAGCCTCGGGGACCTGACTGCGGACGACTTCGCTCCCCGCGTGGAGAGCCTGGGCCGCAGCCTGGGCTTGGCTGGAGAAAGACCGGCCGGGCGGAGGGCGCGGCCGGATGCCCTGACGGAGCAGCTGCGCTGGCTCACAGGGTTCCAGCAGGCCGGGGACATCACGTCGCCTACCAGCCTGGGCCCTGCCGGGGAGGGTGTGGTGGGTGCCCCGGGCTTCCTGCGGCGCTCCTCCTCCCGCAGCCAGAGCCGCGTGCGCGCCATTGCCAGCCGGGCCCGCCAGGCTCAGGAGCGGCAGCAGCGGCTGCGGCGTCCGCGGGGGCCCCCGGAGGAGGAGCGGGGTGCCCCTGAGGGCGCCTGCTCTGTGGGCCAAGAGGGTTGTGGGGATGTGCTGACCCCTGCCAAGGGCGCCACCCACCAGCCCTTAGGTGCTGCCGCCACCAGCCTTCTGCTCCGATTCTGACCAGCCCAGGTGCCCCCTGCCCCCCCTCACTGTAGTCTGGGCCTTGGCAGGCCAGTGTTTGCTCAGGATGGGAGGCTGCCCACCTGTCCCTGGTGTGGCTGTGCCCCTTAGCCCCCACCCCTCCTCCTGGGGAGGAAGGGACCCCTGTCCCAGGGCCGGGTAAAGCTTCCATGACCTTTTAAAATTTATGTACACATAGAGGGATATTTAAATTTTTTAGAGACAAAAGCTTCTACAATATGAAAATGGTGCCGTGTCCCTTCCCACTTTTCCCAGTCTCAGCCGTGTGGCGTGTGCGGGCACGCGTCTGCCTGGTCCTGCTGTGCCAGGCCTGGTGTGCTTGTCAGGCGCCCAGGGTGACCAGGGCATGGCCGTCTCCACAGACTGCTGGCTGGCTCTGCACAAACCCTGCTCTGTATGGGACGTTGTATACGCTTGTAAACTCCTGAGCACAACTCCAATAAACACGTCCGTGCTTGCCCATGTGGGCTCCTGGCCCACTCCCTCTCTGGCCGCATACCCAGTGTTCCTGTCCGCTTACCTCTGTCCATGGATGGTTTGGCTGGACTTTGCCCGGGGCCAGGGCCACAACCCCAACCACCCTGTAGCCTGCCCCCTGACCTGAGCCCCGCTTGTCTTGTCCGGGGCAGACGTTGGCCCTGCCGGGGACCCCAGATTAAGGTCCCCAGAGAAGTTCTGTGCACACCCTTCCAGGACTGCCCCTCCCTGGAGAAGCTGGGGAGCTGGCGGGGTCATAAGGAAGTCTGTTCACTCTTCCTGCCGAGAATCTGGCTGGCACAGGAGCCAGCTGAGGTGTCAGGGGCCACTCCAAGCCCCTATGCAAGGGACAGTGCTCCTGGGGTACTGGGGTGGCCCCATCCAGGCTCAGCTTGGGGAGGCCGCAGGCCCGCACCAGGACCAGCTCTGTGGTCTGGACTGAGGCCCCGGAGGCCATGGGTGCCAGAACAGTGTCTGAAAGGCTGGGTGCTGGTGGGTGTGGATGGCCTGGGGTGGGTGTTCTCTTGCCATGTCCCTCGTAGGCTCTAGGGACCTGTGCTGGTCACTTGCCCACATTCAGCAAAGGCCTGAGGGTGGGCAGCTGTACTGGCTCCACTTTCCTCCCAGGCCCCACCAGGCCCCCGGGAACTGGCAAGGCTGCCTCCATCCTCTGGTTGGTCGGAGGGGCTCAGTCTGTGGAGCTGGAGCCCAGCCTCGGGAGGCAGGGGGATCCAAGGCAGGGCATCTGGGCTCCCAGGGTCTCTGGAACAGTGGGGGTGTGGGCATGGAGGGACACAGCCTGGGCGATCTGTGGGGCTTCTTTAGCCCCAAGTGGGTGCTGCCTCTGTGGCGTTAACTTCCAGAGGCTGCCGAAGGCCCAGGGCCCTTCTGCTCCAGCTGAGAAAGGGAATGGGGGTTGCAGGAGGAACAACAGGTGGGGCAGGTGCTCAGAGCCCTGAAGCCCTCTCTGTGCAGCCCCTTAGGCTGCCCTGGCCTGTCCAGTGATGCTCAGGGGCCCAGCCGGACAGGTGGGAAGACCTGTGGGGGGTCATGACCCAGGCCGAGTGGGGCTTAGATCAGACCCCTGGAGCCCTGCTGAGTGTCTGGGCCAGGCGCCCTCTGCACAGGGAGCCCCAGACCAACCAGGACAGTGCTGCCCTCCCACCAGGGAGAAGGGGAAGACAAGGGGCGGCCTGGGCAGAAGAGGGGCCAGGCAGACTTCACAAAGGTAGCCACGGGAAGCTAAACTGTGCCGGGGGTTGGGGGGAATGTCGGGATGGAGTTGGGGGAGCCCTGGAGGAAAGCGCCTCTCAGGGACCACACAGTGGGTAGGCCTGGCTAGGCCCTCTGCTCACCCTGGCAGCCACTCACAAGAAAGCCGGTCCCTCTCTGCTGACCCAGTAAGAGCTCTGAGGTCCACCCAGGAGCAGGGCCAGCACCCAGGTCACCGGGGGTGGCTGCTGAGGTGCAAGACACGTTGCACACCTTGGGGTTCGGTGTAGGTCCCAGACCACTGAGCTTAGGCTCCTGGAATGGGGCACGGGGCCCCAGTTCCCCAGGCCCAACAGCACAAGTGTGAGGGGGTCTTGGGGAAAGAAGACTGGACCCTGGTCCCTGCAGGGACAGCCTCGCTGGCCTTCCTCATCCCGCCTGTCCTCACGTTGCTGGGTTCTCCAGCCGCCCCGGGTGCTGGGCAGTTGGTCCTCCCCAGTGCACAGGGCTGTTCCGAGGCCAGAGCTGTGGCAGCAGGGCCTCATGTAACTCTTCATTCCCGAGACCCTGCCACACGCAGGCAGCCTTGCAGCTCCTCCACACCTTCTGCAGTGACCCAACATCTACAGCTCAGGTCCGGCACAGCCTGAGGGACGGGTCCAGAGAGGAGCGGAGCACTCCCAGAGCCGGGCAGGGCTCTGAGCCCGGTCGCCCACGTGGTCAGAGGTGCTCTGAGCAGAACGGACCCATCACTAAGCCCAAGAGCCCTCGAGGGTTCTCGAAGCCAGGGCCTCCTCTCAGCGGGCTCTTGAGTTAGGAGAGCTTCTCAGAGACCAGTCTGTCCCTGAGGCCATGGAAGGCAGACAGAGGGGGAGATCTTCAGACACGCTGGAGGCCACCTAGGGAGAGACCCCACTGCCGGGTGCCCCAGGAGGGTGGATGGGCCCCCATCACAGGAGACAGCAAAGACAGAGGCGCTCTGTTCTCACTCTGGAAACTCTATTTGCTGCGCCCCGACCTCGGCATCCTGTCGGAGGCGGATGTGTATATATATTTATATATATATATGTATATATATATAAAAGATTATTTAACAGTTAAATAGATTCCAATACGAATGTCTCATGGGATGAAAGTTGTGTCTCCCACCACGAACACGGCAGCATTAAAGGAACACTGAGCCCAAGGCCATGAGCGCTGGGCCCACCCTGACGCACCTGGCTCCGAGTCACTGAAGCACAATATAAATATTTTGATTTGAACACGGTTCCCTGTTGCAGTCGAAATACATTCCTGACGCGTGACCAGCAGAGCAGCCTGGGGGCCGCACCTCACTCAGCTGGGACCTCATACTTGAAGATGACACTGAAGAGCTGGCCGCCCAGCCGCTCAGCCAGCCAGGAGTTCTTGATGACGGCCAGCTTGAGGCTCTCACAGCACAGCGCCGCGTGGTAGTTGGTGTGGACGGCACGGCCCATGCCCTCGATGACCACCAGGTCAGCACCACGCTCCCGCACCAGCACGGCCAGCCCCTTGTCCAGGCGGCTTTGGGGAGGAAGGAGGCAGTGAGGGAGGTGCAGGCACGGGCCCCGAGCCCTGCACTGAGTCACACCCTGTCTCCTGCCAAAGGCAGTGACCCTGATCCTGCCAACTTTGTGAGCCCTGAGTCCAGCCTGCTCCCCAGACAACCAGTCAGGCAGCCGCCCTCCCAAGACCTGGGGATCAAGGCCTCGGGGACCCGCGGCAGCTGCGCTCTCATTTCTACAAGGCGGCTTGTCCTGAAAACTGGGCCTTCGTGACGCTTTTCTATTTGCATAGGGTTTTATTGTTCCCCCCCCGGCCCCCCATACCCGCTTGGGAGGGATGAAGTCGACACCAGAGAGGCGTCACAAGGAGAGATGGAGAGGCTGACACCCAGAGTCTAGACATGTTGCCTTTACATGGGTGGCGCCACCTTCCAGGGGCCCTGGAGGGAGAGCTCCACAGCCATGAACTGATTATCTGAGGGCAACTACCCCCGGTGGGGAGCCGGCCCCGCCACTTACAGGGGGACAAAGGGCCCTTGCTCCCTCCACCCATCCTCCCAGGTCCCCTGCCATAGGGCTGCAGCAAGCCTGGCTGACCTCTGCTATGCCCAGGGAGCCCAGGGGTCTTGGGAGTGGAGGGCCACCTACCTGAGGTCCAGGCACGGGGAGCTGGAGCCTGTCTGTACCAGCAGGAGCCTCTCTTCTCTGAGCGCCGAGCTGCCGAGCACAGGAGTCGGCGCTGTGAGGTGACGTCCCAGGAAGCGCCCCACCGTGTCCTTGCCCCTGCCCCCTCAGGGTGCCAGGCCTAGCCTCCCCTCCCAGCTTACTGGATGACGGGGTCCATGGCTGCAATGCGCTCGGCCACGATGAGGGACTCGTTGTAGGTCACGTCGTTCAAGGCGGGTCCCGAGTTGCACGCCAGGATGACCTGTGGCAAGATGCCCAGCTCTTTAGCAACCATGACGGTGCTGGGACAGCCTGGGCTCACCTGCCCGCCCTGCATCCCCCACCCTGGGGGCGCTGCTGGCCAAGAGCACGGTTTCTGGCGACCTCTTACGGCCTGGACAGCTCTCAGGTCAGGCTGACCAAGGTCAGGCTGACATAAGCCCTGGAACCCGACACGTGGGGTCTCTTCCTCTCCTCCCGCCCTGCCGCCGCCTCCCTGACACCTACCTGCGCACGGAGGAGCCCAGGGCAACGCCAACCCCACCGGGCACAGGTGCGCGGGGCAAGGGTCCTGCCACGTGGCCCCCACACTCACCTCCGTCCCTCTAGAGAGAAGCTCCCTGACAAAGGGGAAGACTCCCAAAATGACGTCTACTCCACTGTTATCTGCGAAAATTAAGGCACATTTGTGAGGGGGCCCCTGTAAGACAAAACCAGGACGTTCAGTTGGGAACAGGCGCGTCCAAGCGTTCCAGACACCTCCACAGTCCACTCCCCATGGCCGGGCAAGGGCTGCCAGATCTGCCAGCGCCGGGGTCAAGGGGCAGCCCCGGCCTCTTCCAGAACAGCTGGCCTGAAGGACCTCTGAGCTGAGGCCAGCGACCTCATGTCTGTCCTGTGGGAGTCAGGCTTGTAGCAGGGAAGTCACCTTGTACTCCCAGCTTGGGGGTGGGGGGAGACTCTAGGGAGCCCTGACTTTCCCCTGGTCCCCACCCTGGGCAGCTCTATGCCCATCCCCTGCACCGCCTCCCATTCTGTGAATCCCGCTCAGCCCCCTGCCCCCGGGCCCGGAGGGCACAGGACAGAGGTGTGGCAGCTCCGTGTACCTTCAGTCTCTGGAGCCATTTGCCGTAGGAGTCCACGAGCCAGGGCCGCTCTGTGGGAACAGAGACAAGGTCACTCGCTGCCTGTTTCTTACCTGCCCCTGGCTTGGTTGGGACGTGTGGCCCCCGCTACTCTCCCCCAAGTCCCCGCACCAGAGGTGAGCCCTGGGTGCCCCTACCTTGCAGCTTCTTTTTCGCCTCCTCGAACCCAAACTGCGGGTCAGACTCAAGGACGCTGCACAGGGAGAAAGACACAGTCACCCAAAGTCCAGACCTTAGCTTGGCCCTGACCTCAGCCCCCTGACCTCAGTCCCCAATCTCAGCTCCCTGACCTTAGCCTCTGACCTCAGCCCCCAATCTCAGCCCCTTGACCTCAGCCCCCAATCTCAGCTCCCTGACCTTAGCCTCTGACCTCAGCCCTGCTCCCTGATCTTAGCCCCCGACCTCAGCCTGCCTGATCTTAGCCCCTGAACTCAGCCCTGGACCTCAGACCCCTGACATCAGCCTCCCTG